CCTGTAATTTGATCGTAATTATAATAATAATAATTACAGCGTGCGCGGGCAGGAAGTGCAGGAACAATAACCTGGGTAACGCCCTGCACGGTGGCGGGAGCAGCGTGGTGGCACATGCCCCATCCTGGTGCCAGGCTGAGCCCAGAACAGCTCACCAAGCCCTGCCCAGTGCGTGGGGGGACGTGGCCCAAACAAGTGCCCTACGTGTGGTTTTAAGCAGTCGTGTCCATGTCCCAGTGCTGTGGCTCAAGTGCCCAGGCTTTCCCACTGAGCAGGACACGCTGGAAGAGCCAGAGCTGGAGCTGGGGCTGGTCCCACCCCTGGTGTGCAGAGAGTCCCCCAAAAGTCCTGGTGCCCCCAGGAAGAGATCTCCAGTGCCAGAGCCCACCAGGCCCTGCAGTTTCCTGCATTGCTGACACGGCTGCTCCTGCTGCATGCGGGGAGCAGAGCTCTGCCCCCTCCTTCAGCAGTTATATAAAAGGATTAAAATTTAATATGAACTTCAAAAGGGGAAGAACTGGGTGGTCGAAGGCAGCTGGCCTGGGGCCGGGTGTGGAACAGAGGCACCTTGGGACACGTCCCAGCTCTGCTGAGCAGCAGCACTGCAGCACATGGAGACATCATCCAGCCCCAGCCATGGGGGCAAAGTGTCCAGGCGCCACGGGCAGCAGGGGCATCCCATGAACCCACAGTGGCTTCACTGAGCCACGGTGTCCCTGGGTCACGGTGGTGCACAGCTTCCATGGCACGTGGAGTCCCCATTCCCCAGGGTCAGGCCTTGCCCTGCACCTTCACCTCTCTGCTGGCATCCAGGCAGCCCTTAATAACTGACCACCCACTGGCACAGCATCACCCACCCATCCTGGTGCCCCCTGTCACCCTGCCCATCCCATGCCAGCAGTCCCCAGGCATCACATCTCCTCCTGCCCAGTGCCTCACATTTCCTTCCATGCAGGTGGGTTGGAGTGTGCTGGAGAGCAGCCTTATGCTGGGGGAGCAAGACCCCGAGCTGGGGGGCAGCTGATGACCCCTGCCCCCCACTATGCCCAGAATCCACTTGGTTGCACAGCAGCAGCTCTGCTCTCCCGCCGGTGCAGCACCGGGAGCGGGGCTGTGCTGGCAGCAGGAGCGAGCCAGGGCTGGGAAAACACCATCTTCCGCCCACACAGCCGCCCACGGCCCCGAGCCAGCTCCGCCGCCCCCGCCGCGCCGGGGCTCACGGGGCGGGGGCGGCAGGTGCGGGGTGGGGGCTGCGCCCAGCACGGCCGCCCCCCCAAGGACAGGGCAGGGGATGGAGCAGGGAACGGGGCAGGGGGGTGGGGGCCAGCAGCCCCCGGTGCAATATCTGCCCTGGGACAGGGTCCTGCCGCAGGAGCAGGGCTGGGCTGGGGGCCAGGGCTGCGGGGGCTGGGGCTGCCCCATATCCAGCCCTCCCCGGGGCACAGAAACCTCTCGGTGGGGGGCACAGGCTGGCAGCGAAGAAGCCTTTGGTTCGCTCATTTTTAATCCTGGCCAAGAGCAGGAGGGGTGCAGGCATGAGGCTTAGGGACATTGCAGGACAGGACTGGCCACGGGGCCACAAACAGCCCCCTCAGCAGCCCAGCTCATGCCATGGGGGTCTTGGATCATGCATGTCCCTGCAGGATGGAGACCCCCGGGAGACGACAGCAACCACCCAGCATCCCTCGCCGTTCTGCCTTCCCACACCCCGCTGTGGCTCAGCTCCCATTGCTGGGCGAGTCCCTCTCGCAGTGCCAGTGCCACTCTCGCAGCGCCAGTGCCACTCTCGCAGTGCCAGTGCCGCTCTCCCAGTGCCAGTGACGCCCTCCCAGTGCCTGCAATGCGGGGGGCAGGATCTGTGCTTGAGCAGGAGCTGCGGGCGCGTGGGAATGCACAGAGAGCAGAGCGGGGTGGGAGGAGGGGAGCGCACGAAGCCGGAGCTCCCCCCACGCTGCTCCCGATCCCTCACCTGGCAACAGGGACCACGTCCCAGCGGGACTGTGGCACCGGGGCAGGCGGGGGCAGGACCCTGGTGCCCACCCCGCTAGGAGGAGGTGAAGGAGGATGCTCGGGCGGCCGGCGCTGGCCCGGGCGGGGCCGGCGGGGGCAGCGGGAAGCAGCGGCCGATCTTGCGCAGGGTCCGATGCAGGTCAGCGCGGAAACGCCGGATGGAGAAGCAGTAGACGACGGGGTCCAGGCAGCTGTTGAGGCTGAGCAGGGCCACACTCAGCGTGTGCAGCACATCCAGGGTGTCGGGGGGCCCACAAAGAGGCGCAGGGGGCCGGCTACCCACCCAGGGGGCCAGCGTCAGGTGGTAGGGGGCCACACAGACCACAAAGACCAGCAGCATCCCCAGCACCATGGCACGGGCCTGCTGCCGGTGGGAGCCTGGCGAGGCCGCGGAGGGCACCGAGAGCGCCCGGGCGATGGAGGCGTAGGTGCCCAGCACCACCAGGAAGGCGGCGGAGAAGAAAGCCACCATGGCGTAGGCATAGCCCCGCTGCCGCCCGTGCTGCTCAAAGCAGGCGGTGGTCCCGGCGTGGCTGGGGAAGGTCTGGTGGGTGGCCAGGGTGGGCACGGCACAGCCCAGCCCCAGCAGCCAGGCCAGGGCACAGGCCAGCGCGGCTCCGCGGGGCCCCGTCAGCGGCAGCAGCCGCCGCGCCGCCCGCACGGCGCAGAACCGGTTGAAGCTGATGAGAGCCATGAAGGTGATGGCGCTGTAGGTCGCCAGGTAGTAGGCGGCCCCTGCCAGGCGACAGGTGGCCTCCGAGAGTAGCCAGTCCCCCCCAGCCAGGTAGTAGTGGATCCAGAGGGGAAGGGTGAGGTTGAAGAGGATGTCAGCCAGCGTGAGGTTGATGAGGTAGATGCGGATGGCCTTCCTCACCTTGCCACTCTGCAGGAAGACCAGCAATGCCACCAGGTTGCCCGGCAGCCCCACACACAGCACCAGGCAGTAGACGACGGGCACCAGCACGAACTGCACCGGGTTGTTGGGCACGCACTGGCCGGGGTGCTCCACCAGCAGCGGTCCCGGCACCGAGCTGTTCATCCCGGGCTCCTGCAAAGATGGGGAGCAGTCAGTGGCACAACCTCTGGAGACAGGGGAGGGATGTTGACCTGGACAGGACAACCTCTCTGGCTGGCACCTGCAGTAGCTGCTGGGCACTGCAGGCAGAGCCCTGTGGGGATGCCCTAGTGTGCTGGAAGGGATCAGCTCACACAGGAGAGGAGGAGACCCCAGCTCTGTCCCCCCACACAACAAGGGAGCCTAGAGGCCACTGTCAACTGCCCAGCTAGAGCTCGCAGGGAGTGGCAGGCACAGCTGCAGCACAGCCAAGGGACAGAGAGCAGACAGAGGCACCCGAAGGTGCCACACTGTCTCCAGTCAGCAGCTGCGGGGCTTAACACCTCCCACACAGCACGTGCCTGTGGGGCCACCCACCCCAGCCCTGTCCCAGCACCCCAAATTCCCCATGGAGCCAGGCATGAGGAAGTCACTGACTGGCTCAGCAAGCTCCAGAATGGAGAAATCCAGGAATGGACAGGGGGTACAAACATGGGGCCAGCATCCCTCCACATCCCCCAGTCCTGCACAGCGGGGTTTGCCTCTGGTCCGGGCCATGGAAAAGCATGCTGTGCTGCAGTGGCTGTATCCAGGGCTGCAGTTACTTCACCTCCCATCACTGCCTGCCCACACCTCGCCAACGAAGGCACTGAGTCACCAGCTGGTGTTTTCCAGCACAGCAGGGCTGGATTCGGCACATGCAGCACCCAGCTCCGGGTTGAGACATGGAGAGCACGAGCTGCTGAGCCTGGGGGACTTCATTTGGACCCCAAAGGAACCTCTGAATCCCTCAGTGGTCCCCTTTTCCTCCTCCTTCCCCATCATTAGCACAGGGAATGCTCCATCTCACCCACACCACGATTGTTACTTACCTCGTCGGGTCAGGCAGGAGCAGCTCCGTCCCCTCTGGCTGCTCCTCACTCTGATCCAGCCAGGCTGGGGACAGCTTTAAGTGCTGGGGGAGGCAGGGGCTGCTTGACCCCCACCCACCATCCCAAGCCCCCCTGTGTCTTAGTGCCTGTGGGACAGCAGCTGGAGTGGGGAGAGCACCTGTGTGTGTATGTAATGGGGAATTCCCGGCTGGAGCCACCCTAAAATCCCCTGCGCCGGCTGACAGGGCTGGGGACATGTGGGAGTGGTCAGTGCTGGCCTGGCTGACCCCCCTCCCGTGCCCCCAGGCACATCTAACACCATTTCCCAGGGCCCTTCTCCCACCCACGCCTGGATGAAAGCAGCAGAGGGTCAAGTTTCTGCACCCGGCAGCTGGGGAGAAGAGGGATGCCCAAAGGGATCAAAGCAGGAATCTGCCTCCTCCTGGCTCTTTTGTTGGCTTCAAAGCTGGTTTTAAGGGGAGAAGCCCTACAGGCCCCTCCAAGATCTGTGAGCATCTGACTCGCTGCTTTGTGTGGCCTTGCAATTTGTGTGTGCTCCTTTGGGACACCAAAGATGCCACCCCGAGGTAGGTGACACCTACCTTCAGGTCCCACCAGGGGTACAGGGGTGTCTTACACCCCTTGCTCATCCCAGCAGCCAGTCTCCCCACACAGCCATGCCAGCCCCCTTGCTGGGACACACTTCAGGCGAACTGTGGTTTATCCTGAGCGTGCTGTGCCCATCTGGGGTGGCAGAGGGTGGCTCCTTGCGGGAGCAAGATCCACAAAAAGCACATGCCTGCCTGGGCACTCGCTCCTGGCACTCCCTGGGCGTACAGCAAGGGGCCTGGCACATTGTTGGGTGGCTGAGGGATCCCACCCCAGATGGGCTCTCCCTAGTGTCCATCTGCCTCGGTGCCAGTTCCTGCACCAGCTCTCACACGTCCCCAGGCCTTGCGTCCAGGCACTGTTCCCAGGGACTGGGTCCTCCAGCCCCAGGACATCTCCTCAGCCCCTGAGGCTCAGCATGGGGGGGAGGCAGAAATAAACAGGGAGGCAAAACATGAAAAACAAGAGGTTTTATTCCAAAATTTGAAAGCCCCCAAGAGAGCAGAGCCAGCCCCTGCTTGGCGTGGCCAAACTCCGGAAAGAGCCGGACACCTTGTGCGAGTTCAGCAGCAGAGCTGCTGGAGCAGTGCCACGGCAGTGTCACAGCGGTGCCATGGCCACTGCCCCACAGTGTGGGGACAGCTCAGGTCCCACAGCGTGGGGACAACGAGCACCAGAGTCACTGGCAGAGGCAGGAGAGGACACACTGTGTCTCATCAGCAAGTTACCCTGCAGGATGCGACGTCGTCCCTGAAAATACCATAAAGGTGTTGCTCCCTAGCGGCCCAGCCGTCTGTCCTTCCCGTCTGTCTTTCCATCTGTCCTTCCCGCCTCTTGTCACTCGAACTTGGGCCGGGGGGCAGCTGGGTACCCACGGATGTTGAGCAGCAGGAGAAGGCCGAGGGAGAGGGTGGCCGGGGCACACATGGCCAGCGGCTCCTGCAGCGCCAGCAGCGTGTAGATGGCACCTGGGCATGGAGCAGAGCACAGGAATGGGGGTCTCTGGCCAAGGGTGTCCCAAGACCCCACGATGGGCAGCGGGTGCCCACTGGTTCTCACCGATCATGACGACACTGAGGATGAAGTTGCTGATCTCCTGCAGCAGCTGGGGCCCAAATGCCAGCAACAGCCCGGCTGTCACCTCCACCCAGCCCACGGCTGCCAGGTACCTGCCTGGCTCCGGCACAAACCCCAGGTCCTTCAGGGGAAACACCTTGGCAAAGCGCACAAACTCCGATGCCTGGGAAGGGTGGGAGAGGGGTCAGGCAGCCCTGAGCTTGGGGAGATACAGCCCCTCCAGTGTGTCTGCTCTGCTCTGCCCTGTCTTCCAAGGGGATCAGCTCTGCATCCTAAATAACACAACCACACACCCTAAGGGGATCAGCCCTGCACTCCAAGGCACTCTGGCTGACTCACAATGAAAGGCTCAGCCTTGTACCCAAAGTGCTCCACCCTGACCCCCTGTAGTCCCAACCTGCTCATTCTCACCCAAGGCTTAGCCCCGCACCACAACAGGGTCAGCCCTGCACCTCAACATGCTCCTTTCCCCTGGAGCTCAGCCCTGCACCCCAACCTGTTCCTTTCCTTTCCCCTGGAGCTCAGCCCTGCACCCCAACCTGTTCCTTTCCTCTCCCCCGGAGCTCAGCCTTGCATGCCAAAGCGCTCTTTGCTCTTTGCTCTGCCCCCAACCTGCTCATTCCCCTGCGGCCCCCGAGCTCGCCGAGCCCGTGGCCGCGCTCACCATGTGCCGGTGCAGGTCGGCAGAGAGCCAGTCCGAGACCTTCAGGGCGCCCGTGAGGAAAAAGAAGAGCCCAAGCAGGACACGGAGGGCGGTGAAGGCCGCCGCCATGGCGGGACGGGCGGGCCCGGGGGCGGAGCGGGGCGGAGCGGCCCGGCCCCGTTCCCGGCCCGGCCCCGCTCCCGGCCCCGTTCCCGGCCCGGCCCCGCTCCGCTCCCCGCCCGCTTCAGGCCGGCCCAGCCCCGCAGGTTCAGGGACCCCCTAGCCCTTGGGTGCTGGCGGGGCAGGGGGTGCTCAGATGTGCAGCGTCACCCCCCAGGCTGTGACACGTCCCCGCCAGCAGCACCTTCCTCTCCCCGAAACAGAGCCGGAGGAAAAGGGAACCCCCCCACCCCGCAACAAATCCCACAGCTGGGGTTCGTGGGCTCTGTGAGCAGGAGCGACCCACGGCAGCACCTGCTGGCTTGGGCTGCGGGGACCGATGGCAGGCAGGGCAGAGGCAGTGCTGGGCACAGCTCCGGAGCAGGCAGCGGCAGCAGCGAGGATGTCCCCAGGGATGTCCCCAGGGATGTCCCCTGGCCCCAGGGCCGCCGCTGTGGGGGACGGAGGCGGCCGCGCTCCCCCGGGCTCCGCGTCACCGCCTGCTCCAGCACCGGCACAGGCCGAGCTCGGGATTGGAGAGAGCCGGGCCCAAGAGAGCCGCGGGCGCTGACGTTGTGTAATTCAAGTGGAAATATTTTAATGCCAATAAATCACGAGAGCCCGAAGTGTTTTCCAGGCACGAAGAAGCACTGTGGGGCACAGAAAGCACGGCCAGCCTGGACCTGCCCCGGCCCCAGCTCAGCCAGCAGGTTGCAGGGGCTGCCACAGGCACTGGTTGGACAGGGGCCAGTGGCAGTGACACTATTTTTACTCCTGGCAGCACATGATTCTTCAGCTGCTCAACATGATTTGGAGCTGGGGTTGGCACACCATGCAATGACAGCAACAGGCCAGGGCAGGCTCCAGGCCTTCACGGCTTGGAAAGCTCCTTGGTTAGAAAGGAATTAAAAAATAAGCATCAAAACCGGGAAAAGTGAGTGCAGCAGCTCAGTGCACATGCAGGGCTGTGGGAACAGGGCAGCACATAGTGCTTCCCAGGATATTGTTGGAGTGTATCTGCTCTCAGTCTCTGATCTTTTATTGATTACAGAAGCTACTTAATGAACTATTTGGTAGAAGAAGCTGTCAGCCTCAGCAGAGGGCACCCCAGGTGATGGTAACAGCCAACACCAGCACCAGGGAAAACCCATCCTGTCCCTACAGGACACAGGCTGCAGTTTGTTCCTACCAGGGAGCTGAGGAGATGCAGTTCAGCACATGGAATGCTGGAACACTTTCTCACAGGAAGCAGCCAGTGCTGCAACAGTGGAAATGAGGACAAGGACTAGAAAATAACAGAACCTGAAGAAAAAATGCTGCACAAGCTGCAGTAGCTGTGGAGACAAAGACACTGAACCCCAACCCCTACAGGGCAGCTATTGAGGAGCCACAGACCTCACTGAAGCCTTTTCAGGATCCACACAATACCACAAAGTCATCAAATCAGAGTGAAACACCTCAGATTGTCCTCAGCCAGCACCTGATTGCCTGAGAGAGAACAGCAGCAGTTCCTAGTGCAGCAACCCTCCCTGCCAGGAGCACTCCCAGGCATTCAGACCCCTCTCAAGTGTTTCATACTACTTAGCCACATGAAATTAAATTTATTTTCATGTTTCTAATCTGGCAAAGCAGGTCCCAGCAAAATGCTAATGACACTTTGTGCCACTGCAGGAGGAAACCCTGCTAGAACGAGCAGAGCCACCACTGGTGTATTTTAACATATTAAACAACTTGATATTTAAGCAAAGGATTGTATTTAATCAATGACAGCATGAACCACAGTGTATGTGCACAGTGCAGCTGCCAAAGCATCAAGTGAAGCAACGTGAACCATTGCAATTTGTGCTGCAATAGCTAAACCAGCACTGCTCTGGCTTCTAGAGAGCTCTAACTCTTGCCATCTCAGGCTTAATTACTACAGTTATCACCAAGAAAGCTATTAAAAACCAACCAGGCACAGGTAAACATTTGGAATTCTACAATAGCAACTATGTAACACACAGAACGGGAGTAAGGAATGAGTGAAATTTCCAGAAATTTGCATTTCTCAGACCCAGCCATACCACTCCACACTGACAGACTGCTTATTCACTGATTACCCTTTGGAATAAAACAGAAATAATTTATAAAAATATTTAAATATTTTATTTTTAAGAGCTGTATGTTCCTGGTTCCTCTTCATTGCACTCAAGACTTCTTTTTCTGCAAGTGCAAAGCACACAATTAGAAAGATTGTGAAAGAAAGACTGAAAACAACAGCAGAACCTACATGACATGGAATCACTATACAGAATCACAGGCCATGGGCCTGCCAAATATTCTCAAGTATTCACACCAGATTTTAGATTAAATGAACAGAATTCATGTGTTTTTAATACCAGATATGGCTTTGTGTGTTTTCCTACCCACAGCAAGGAGCAGCAGTGACAAACCACAGAGGATTCAATAGGAATTCACCCATGGAATCCCACTGGCTTCACACCTTACAGGTCTATTGTTACTTACCTGTTACTCCCGAGTTAAGGTACTCAGCATGTTGCTCCTCAAACAAGATTTTAAATATCTGAAGTTTCCCCTTGTAGTTTAGTGGCAAATTAGAGGGAAAATATCATTAATTTGAGCTCTGCACTTTGGTTTATTTCCCTGAACTGCTATTTGCTTTGCTCCTATACATGCTGATCTATACACCAGGTTATTTTTTTAATTCATTGTTAAAGTATTTCAGCAATAGCTTTTTACCAAGGTTTAGTTGAATTAACATCTGAGAAGCAGCTGCTCTATTTCCCTTTTCCCATGCTGACAATCACCAACTGCAGCCTGAGTGCAGGAATGGTCATTTCTTGTTTGACCACCTGCTGCACACAAAGGACAGAATTTATTTGCTGCTGCGGGGCTGAAAAGCCTCAGACAATGGTTACATTTTGGCTCTACAAAAGCAAGATGCAGAAACTTTATAGAGAACTGAGATTAATCACACGTTTCAGGCAGGAATTACATAACCCAGCACAGGGTGATGGGCTACCAAGCCCTCCCAGCAGTGTGAGGACACTTACTTGTCCACCTGTTCCCTTGGTCCCTCCACACACCACTGGGCACCATGCTGGATGTGCTCATGTTCAACTCCTCATCTGGAAAAACATTCCCAAGTTATTACACCCCCAAGTGACTTTTGAAATCTTTTGTACAAACCCACGTCTAGGAAGGTATTTTTAGCTGATGCTGTCAAGATATCAAGCCCAGGTGGAGTCAGGGTGCTCAAGCCCACAGTGTGACAGCAGGGACTGTGTTCTACCTTACACATTTAATGTATCCATTTGTCCCAATTTGTCACTGCTCCCCAATTCAAAGGTACTCAGTGACTGAACACCAAGTGTCCTAAAACCTTTATTATTTCATCCATCCAAGACAAAAAAAGCAATACTTACTTCCAATGGATGAGCACTCCGGTGTCACTCAGCTTTCATCTTCACCTAAAGGATAACAACTGAAGTTATTAGAGTCATACACAGCAAATTGTGACCATTTCAAAACTAACTTAAAAATAAGGTTTTAACATACATGGACTGATTAGTTATGAGGGGGAACTTATCAATTATTCCAAACTATTACGTGGAAGAATAAGGGGCAGAAATAGGCTAGCCTAAACACTCATCAAGAGCTGAAGGAATATGCAGGCAGTTGCCTGAAGAACTGCACCCTGAGCACAAACCATAACCCCAGTCTGAGCACAGTGAGGTCTGATTGCAGCCAGAGGTATACTATCCCTTATGTGAAGGCTTTAATTTCGTCAGCTACTTCAACTCTATGACCCTATTTGTCTCCTGTAGCAATGCCCTCTCTCTTCCCCTTCCTGAGGGAGTGCAGTGTTCCTGGCCTCTTGGAGCTCTCATGTTCTACAGTCGAACAAGTGCTTCAGAAGCCAAAGGCAGACACTAGAGGTTGGCACTGTCACTGCTTTTATCCTCAGCAAGGTTCTTCCCTCCTTCAAGGCCTCCCTTTACTACAGCTGAGGGCAGCCTGCAGTGGTGAGAGCGGGGGATGTGGTGCAAGGCTCTGCACAGCTCCAGTTGGGAGGCAGATCCTGCCATGGGCACAGCATGATCTGACCAGGCAGGGACAGCTTCAGGCTTTAGTCTCCAACCCACCACCCACCTGGGTTTCCTCACAGCCCTTGGGAGCAGGAGAGTTATGCACGTTTTGTTTTCTCTGCCATAGCAACAAACACCATGCATAAGGGATACTATATCTTTGTGCATCCTTTGAACACTGCAGATTCCCTGCTAGCCACACTCCTCCCAGCCCTCCCCAGTTAGCTCTTCAGTACTGGTGTTCAGAAGCAACATTTATAGAGATGGGGTGTTCACAGACCACTGCGGGATTGCACAGCCAAGTCCTAACGTGTCAATCATTACCTAGCAGCAATGACACAGCTGGGAGAAGGCCAATCCTCCCTTTTTTCCTTTTCCAGGCAGCAGCTATTTAACAGCCCCACTAGCTGGTATGGAGAGTGAAAAAATCTGAAGCTAATTAGCTGATTCCAAAACTTGCTGGTAGTGGAAGAAGCCAAGTGATTCCCCAGAGCAGCATACTTGGATGCATCCTTCCCAACATGCTCAGCCTCATTGAACATAATGGAACAGAACACTGGCCTTCCTGATCATGTCACTGCAGCTGGCAATGATTAACAGAGACATGCAACCCCATTACTGCTCCAGTCCTAAAACTACTCACAGGCCTCAGTGTTTAGCTATGGGGAGAACTGCAAGCAAATCAACACTTTGTATGCTTAATGTTACAATAAAGCCCCATCCACGCTGTGCTGTGCTCTCCTGCCAGCACCAGGCTCTGCTCGGAGGGCCTAGCAGTACGCAGATGTATTCTGACACCACACTTCTGAGTTTCAGGTAAGCTTTTGAGAAAAAGTGTATTTCACACACAGATAAAACCAAGATGAAACACAATGCAAGCACTTGAATGTCATTTCTTGTACCCACTTGTTACAGACTGACTTAGAGCAGACATGACTAAGTTTGCTACCAACACCAAGTTTCATTACTGCAGCCAGAGGTGGTTTGAGCCCCATGGTTTCAGTCACAAATTGCTTGCTCCAAGAGTGTCAAAAACCTGCTTAGTTCAAGTACGTAGAATGAGGCAGATGTGCCAATAACCCCTCCATGACATTCCTGCAGGTCAAGTATCCAGAGCACAATGGAAAAACTTAAGTCAGATCTTGAGCAATGGTTTAAGATCACTAATTCAGTTTTGCTACCTGACAGCACAGTGGCTGCCAGCAGGTTTGATACTGGATCCCAGTCCCAGGTAAGGATAAGCCATCACAAAATGGATTCAAGTCACAGGTAAAGGTAAATCATCATGAAAAGCCAAACTGACTTTGTGACAAGGTGTCACTGTGTAACCAGCTGGCATGGGCTACACTCACTGTGGTGTAACCAAAGACCTGTTTTCATTAACTTATGGTGCACCT